GATGCAATGAGTTACACTGTTAGTACACCACTGTAGTTAAAAAGTATTTGCTCACCCCAGGGGGCCAAGCAGAGGCTATTGACATGCTTGCTTGATGTATGAAAAGACAAATTAGTCCCCCATCCTATCTACCAGCAGGGTACAGTGACCCTACATGGAAAAGGCAACTCAAACACTGTATAATATATTTACTTTTTCTTTTTTCTGGGAAACTTCAGAGTTACCAAATCAACTGTGTCTAGTGTGCAAATTGCATGCAAGCTAACAGAATGTGAATTAACATTGAGGAAAGCCATGTTTAGCTTGACTGTGCAGATGGCAGTCCTAGTTACACTCTGTTCTGGGGGAATCTATGGCAGGTAAGCTTGAATGGGGAAACTCAGGGAGAAAGGAATTTAGACCAAATGCTCTTTCTGGATATGACTGCTCATTACTCATCGCCTGGCTCCTGCCCCTCGTACATTCTCAGTTTTCCAATATCTAAGCAATGTGAGAGAGCAGTTTCTCTATGTGTCACTCAGGGAGATTAGAGGGGGACCCAGTGAGAAAGTGTCCCTCCTTAGGTTAGAGAGTCCCATGGGTCTGTTTCTTGAGTTAAATAAACACAACATGGCTGGGGTTTGTTTTTTTTTAGCACTACATAGGTGATTGGACTTACCAGAAAATGAAGAAGGTCTCATATTTGCCTTAGCATCCCACTTCTACCCATCAGAAGAACACAATGTTAAGGGGAGAAAGGCTATACCTTTCCATTACATAAATCCTAATCAATATAAAATGAAATTTCTCTGAAGCTCTACCATCAATTTGAAGGAATGGTTAGGAAACTATTTTTGTGAAATTCTGTGAACATTTGGGTAACCAACCAGCCACAGTTCTGCCATAGATTGAAGAGAGAGGGTTACGGAAGTTGGCTGTGTGAAAGAGTGCCTTGAAACCTGTTCTTTCCCAGCATTTTTATAATCCTGTCCACAGTTAAACTCAGTTGGCTTTTATAGAAGCTGGTCAAGGTCTCCATGCATTGGACAAATATTTACTGGAAATAAATATATCATGGTGCTCTATTGTAACTCATTTTATAGGTCAAAGACTGTTATAATAATAATGTCGTGAATGATATAAAAGAACCAACCTGAACTTGTCTAAATCAAGCACAGATAAAGCAAAAATTTTCGGGTCTAAATATCTTTCTCTTATTTATTCGGCAAACGTTTGTGACAGACCTGCTGTGTAGGACACACTAGTCATAGTTCTTAGCAGGGATATTTTGGAAGACTTGGTCACTGAGGAGTTGAGGATATGTAATTAACTGTAGTAACATTGGATTGGAGCTCTGTTTATTTTTCCTGTTTCAAGGTAGCATGAAGTCATGTGTGTTCACCAAGTGAAAGATCCCCATTCTGGGTTCCTGCAGTGTACTTTGAGGTGCAGAATTTAGTGACAGGTGAGTTCTAGCCGGGGTCTCTCCCAGCTCTAAAATCTAAGAAAGTAAAGCGAAAAGCAGTGTGAGGAACATGAAAAGTACTAGACAGATGTGAGAAGTGAGGAAGAGGAGGAGGAGGACTCCAGGCTCAAGACACTTTTGTCCATCCCTAGGTCTACCTCCCTTTAGTATACCTGCTTTTGTGCCCTTTTTTGGCCCGAGAGTCTGAAGGCCAAGCATCCTCAGGCCTGGCATTGGGCAGGCTGTCTGCCTCCCCCAGCTTCCTTCCACCCCTGTGCTCCTGAACGGAAGTGGAGCTCCAGGGTGGTGGAGCTCAGAGGTCCCCACTCGCTTGGCCTCCCCAACTGCAGATGCGCTCTCCGAGAAGTGGTAGGATGACAAGGCAGACTTGGAACCAAACTCTACCTCTACTGTTAGCCTCTTCTAGTATTCAAGTTCTTCTGTAAAACAGGACATCAGAACACTTGAAAAGAGTGGTATGAGAATTAATCCCAGAAAAGTATGGAAAGTACTCCTACACAGCAGTGGGTAGCTCCCCAGAGCATTACTCATGTAGTTGGGTTTCAAAGCATGCATCACGCCTGCTGCACCCTCTGAGTAAAGCCAGGTCCCAAAGCCACCACCCAAACCATAAGATCGCCTCACCGTAATTACATAAGAGTGCACGTGTCTGGGCGTCAGCCATTCTTTTTTTTTTTTTTTTTTTTTCTTTAAGATTTTATGTATTTATTTGACACAGAGAGAGAAAGTGGGTACAGGCAGGGGGAGCAGCAGGGAGAGGGAGAAGCAGACTCCCCGCTGAGCCCAATGGAGGACTTGATCCCAGGACCCTGAGATCATCACAACCCGAGCTGAAAGCAGACGCTTAACCAATTGAACCACCCAGGTGTCCTGGTGTCACCCATTGTCACCCACCAAACGCTGTTTGGCGGAGGCAGCAGGCATTATGTTGCTTTTGTCTTAAAAAGTGATTTCCTCAGCATGGTTTCACTAGATTTTCAAAATCAGGCTTTGAGGCAGGTAGAGAAGTCTTGTTTTCAGCTCAGCTCTCAGGGCCACTGCCTTACACCATTGCCATGGAGGGATGCTCCAGGGGGTGCCCCCCTCCATGTAGCATACAGTGTGAGTGGTGTCCCCCCAAGTCCCACAGAGCAGCAGAACTGCCAGTGCCAGTTCCAAAAAGGAAACTGCTGCCCAAGGAGAGCCTAAGGGACAGGTCCAATGTCACACAGCAGAGGAGGAAGGGATTCTGATCTCCTAGTCAAGTTATGACCCCAGGTAGTTTGTGCCTTCTCCTGTGCTGTGTGACCTTGAGTAGAGCACACACAGAGAGACTGGGGTGGAATCAGACTCCCAGTGCCAGCCTTTTTGTCCAGGGTTAGACTCTGGAGTACCTGGTGGCAGACCCCTGGAGGGCACTGGGGGAATGTGATGCGGCATGTCGCACCTCAGTCTTGCTCTCAACGTGCTATATTTGGGCTGTTATATTATGGAAAGGAAATGCCTGCATCACCGAGCCAAACAGGCTGTGGAGACAGCGGTCTACTCCTCTTCACCGCCGTTAGGACCAGCTTCCATGAATATTCAGTAGCCGGCACCCCTAAAAAATCTATTAATCTCCCACCTGTGTTGTCATCTTATCACAATCTGTGGTCTGTGCCAAAAGGCACATTGCAGTATTAAAGGAAGACTCAGTGTTTGAGAAGTGACAGCAATATTAAAGTGCTACCATTGGACTCCCTGCAAAATGCCAGTGACTTCCTCATCTTCGCTAATCCCCAAACAAAATAAACATCAAGAAATATTAAAACACACATTTTATTAGTTTCATTTAATTTCTTAATTGCTCAAAGTCAGTTTACCCATTTATTGCTGTGTGAAATGCTTAGAGGCAAGGCGCACATTAAAGGGATTATTTCCATGTAATCCCTCCCTCCCAGAGGGTAGGAACTGATCACTTATGAATCCTGATTTACGCTCTGTAACAATATCAAATGGAGGAAATAGTTATTGTAAAATGATAGAGTCAGGAGTCGGGTAATATGGTAGGAGAGTGTAATTTAATAGCAAAGAGAAAGCCCCTCATTTTCGGTAAAAGTTATGCGAGCCTTTTTCAGGAATAGCTATTAACCAAACTGAATTTAGCCTCCCATTTTTCTGGGTCTCCTCCTGTTAATTGATAGATGTTGAAGATGTGTAGCCCGTTATGATTTTAATCAAATGGTGTCTGGAAGTAGATGTGATCATTTTACTGGGACTTGGAGTTCCGGGGCTAATAATTGCTCTGGGTATTTCGCTCTCTGTGACAGTTCGCCCACTGCCAAGCTTCCTTCTTGGAAGAAAAAGACCACAGGCTCTCAGGTGGAATTTGGAGGGATGCCGCACATGATGCAGGAAAGGGCTGGGAGGGTAGGAAGGAGTTCTGGGTAAATATCCAGCAAGAAACTTAGGATCTTCTGAACTTCTGGCACGGGGGACATCAGATCTGGCCTGAGACCATGAAACCTCCACCCATCAGGGACCCCAGAAAGAGCTTTTTCTTGTTCTCTTGTTGACTTATCTGTCCCGGTCATAATACATTGAACCCAGCATTATTTTAGAAGGGAAGAATTATACCATCAGATCAAAGGGATCAGGCCAATCCGTTAGACAGCAGGCAGCCGAGACAGGGGCCAGGCCTGACAGCAGGGAAACAGGCCATCCCTCCCTGGCAGGCGGACCCTCTTCTGATCGTTGATATTCACTCTCTACCTTTAGAATCCACCTGATGCTAAGAGTATACAAAATAAAACCTTTTCTTAAGGCCCTCAAGGAGATTTGTACCATGTCTCTTACTAGATTGAGGGCAAAACAAGCTGATACTAGCAGAAAAAAAAAAATGGCTGGTTCAGACCCCAGCTGACCTCTCTTGCATGGAAAATTCTCCATATGATTACCGTGCTAATGAGTAATATTTAATGAAAACATTATGCCTTTGCATATATTTGTAAGCAGCCCTTCTTTCATCTAAATTTACATAGAAATCAGCTGATATGTATAAATACACATCTTGGAATTCGGTGTGTTCTAAGGAAAATACTCATCCGCTATCTCCGGCTGTTTCTATACAAAGCCCCCAACTTCTCAAGAAGAAAACCGTAGAATTCAGTCAATCATCCGGCTGACACGAAACATGCGAGTATTTGATGATGCCCGGATAAAACAGCTGTGCGCCAGGCAGGGTCCTCCACAGTCCACACGATGTTTTGGCTTTATGTAAACGGTGTACGAGGGAAAACAAAACAAAAAAAACTGGGCTAAACAATTGCTAAATAAATACGTATCCAAAAAAAAAAAAAAAAAAAAAAAAAAAAAAAAAAAAAACCCAAAAACCTTTCTCTTTCAACTTGAAGAATCCTCAGCATTTAAGGACAGAGACTCAGAACTGGGATTGGTTCTGGGGTCTGCGTCTTTCTGTTTCCTTTTCCGCTCCAGATCTGAATCACGGGGGTGCTGAATTTGAGAGCAGAAAAGCCATTGACGCCTTTCTCTCCCACCCTTTCTCTTCCCCCTCTAGGTGGAGCTGACAGGCAGCAGCGTCTTTGACTACGTGCACCCAGGGGACCACGTGGAGATGGCAGAGCAGCTGGGCATGAAGCTCCCGCCCGGGCGGGGTCTCCTCTCGCAGGGCACGGCTGAGGACGGAGCCAGCTCGGCATCTTCCTCCTCCCAGTCGGAGACCCCTGAGCCAGGTGGGAATTGATCCCGACGTGGGGGACGGTGGGCAGGACCTTTGCCAATGCTTGCACTCAAGTCACCAGTGTGAAGAGACTATAAATAGGTCTAATGGTAGTTAACAATTCCGTGCAGCTTTCTGTCCCGTGCAGTAATTAAATAAGGAAGGGATTTGAAAATAAGGAGACATTTTAATAAGTATAATCCAGAGATCTAATTTCAGTTGAACAATACATAGAGAAGGCACTAGTTCTTTGAGTTCCCCTTTCAGATTACTAGAGGGAAAATGTTCCGATTTGGAAAGCCCTCTTCCTTGTCTTGTTACCGTGGCTAAATGTAGTGCATTTATTTATTACTCACCAAAATCTATGATAAATTCTTCTTGAATATTAGCTTGTAGAGAATTAAAAATATTAGGGACTGACAGAAATCTTGGTTTCTTTTTTTTTTTTTTTTTTTTTGGTAAGCATCAGAAGGTACTTGAAAGATGTGAACAGATAAATTAAGGCTAAAAAGAAAACAGAAATGGCTACATTTTAAACTGCCTTTCTACCCTCAGTATTTAATTAGATCAATTGTATAGAGGAATGAACAGAGGTGACATTCCTCATTGGGATTCCTTCCAGGACTCTTATAGACTTTGCATTCAGAATGTTCCCATTTTCATTGTGTTGTACTGATGATAATTTAAGTATTAGGGGAAAATCCATTTATAAATTAAACAAAATGACTTGATATCCATCAGTCCCCTAGTTCATCAAGCTGTTCAAACACGGGGAAGATTGGCTGGTCGGCCTGGGTCTTCCGAGAGCGCTGGTAATTAGATCTGCGAAGGATTTATTCTTTGCTGATTGGGGCTTTAAATTAATTGAAGTTCCACATTTGTGGTTTTGTCCTTTTTGTACTTTTTTAGAGGAGATATTTCATATTCTTGTGTGGTGGAGTGCTTGGCCAAGCAGCAGTGGTTTAAATGTTAATTTTTCTCATGAGAAGTTTAAGATTTTTAATGAATCAAGGCCTGATTTGAAGTGCAAAGTTTTATTTGCTTACTTGGGAAATTATTTTTGCACTCTTTAAAGATGCCTGTACTTTACTTGATATGTTGTTTTAAAACAGATTTGCAACACAAACTCATTTTATAGAAAGAAAAGTAGAAAACAACCCATCTTAAGATTAATATTAAAAGGATTCTAAGAAAATACTTAAATTTAACCTGCTTAAAAATAATCACAGTGTGTTTGCTCACACAGATGGGGAAAAAAACCATATTTGGCTCTTTGGAAATATTTTAATTCCATCTAAAACCAATGCATGTTTCCTTGTGTAAGTTAACTGCAGTTTCTAGGGCATTATTCTACAGGATTGGTGAGTGTCTTACTCCAGTGAGCACCGAGCATTAGAAGAGAGCGTACTGAAGACTACTCTTAACCATTTTAAAATGAAAATAATCGTGTTCCCAGGGAAGTCCTATCTTCTTTTACCATTGCTCACCAATGTCACTAAATAGATTTGTCTGTGAGATCATTGAAACTGCATTTTCGTCTTTTGAATATTCATATCTGGGCAGACTTGAGAAACAGCACATCAAAATAGTTTCTCACTCTTTCCTTCTGGAGATGAATTAGGAAACCTGGATTGCTAATACTCCTCAACACTCAATGTATAAGAATTCAGGTTTATAAAACCCTCGTTGCTTCCCTGACTCACTATCAAGCCTAGACAATCTCCAGTCTTCGATCAGGGAAGCCATCCCTCTATGTCAAAGCCAATAGCTAACCGTCCAGGCTCGGCTAGAACCACCACAGTGGAACACTCAGAAACCTCAAGGCTGCCTGTCCCATTGGCGAACAGCTCCGAGAGAAAAGTTCTTTGAATATGGAGCCAAATATGAATATGAGCTTTGCCGTAATTTCTCCCCACTGATCCCAGGTCTGTCCTTGGGGATCTCATTTCATATCTACTCGTTCCTCTCCATCCACCCTCTCAAATACATGAAGTCAGATATATACCAAATTCTCCCTTCCCTCCTGCCTTCCTTCTCCATTCCAGGTCAAACAGCCCTTCATCCCACAAACATTATGCAGTGGCATGTTCCTGAGACCCCCACCACCTTAGTCACCCACCCCCGGCCATGCCTCAGTTTGTTCATGACCCTCTAAGAGTATGGTTCTGAGAACGCCGTGCAGCCCTCTGGGTGTGTTCTGACTAGTACAAAGCAGAGGGACAGTCCCCTCTCTTGGTTTAGGTAACAGTACTTCTGCTAAGACAGCCTAAGTTTGAATTAGGTCCTCTTGGCGGCCAGACCACACTGTTGATTCATATTGAACTTGATGGCTCCCCAAACACATGTTAAGGGTAACTTGTCACTTGGAAAAGACTTTGATCGGGAGAAAAAAAAAAATTCACTGCCTGTAAACCAGTTCTGCTGGGATATCATAAGCTAGAGTCAAAATCAGACTGGTTTAAGATTGATTATAAGAACTCTGATCAATCCCATGCCTTCCAGGAGGCTCCAGGATGCATAAAACATTTCTACACACACTGTTAGGAGGAGAATGACCTATATTCTTTAAAGTTATTCTGTCATTACTCTGTCGTGTACTGAAGTATGATTGACAATTTACTTGGGCTTCCTTCCCCTGCTCTACCAGCCTTCTTGGAACCATCCTAACTAGTAAAATTGAAAATTCTACTTCCTACATTTCTTAACCACTGGGGCTCATTAGCAACAGTGGCATAAGAAAGGTTTCTCTTCCTTGATGAAGAGTATAGCTCTTACCATTACAAAATGTGAAACTTACTTTGCCTTAATGTCTGTAGCCTTGGTTCTTTTCGGTCTTAGGCTTAAAGGGCAATTAGATTGACTGCTTAAATACTGAAAAGCAGGGTAGGGTGCTACCTTTAACTAACACTGCTCCAAGGGAATTACTTTCAAAAGTCCATGTCAGGCACTACATCCCAAAGCTGCTTATGTTTCTTAAAGGCTGAAAGAATTTTAACAGGATTTCCTAATTCATAATAATACGAGGGGACATTTTTGAGGACTTGTTCATTGCAACATAATCTTTTAAACTCTGATGAAACACAGATTCTTTTTTAAATAGTAGTGTAATTTTGTTGGAAAGGGGATATCAGTATGTGGTGATTATGAAAATGAAGGTATGGACTTTTCCAGAAGCCCTGATGTGTTCAGCATAGCATTACTAAGTGACTGAAATCTAAATAACATTTGGCATTAGAATAAAAGGAAATAAGTGACTAAACCAGCCTAAGAGGCAGAGATACTGTGCCATAATAGGAATTCTCTTTCTCTGAACTGCCAGCCCTGTGATTGTCTTGTCTTGAACCAGTCTCAAGATAATGGGGCCGGGGGCGGGGGGCAGGAGGGGGCATTTCTTGACTGTTGGAAACCCAAATAAATCTTTTACATGTGTGCATAGTTACTTATAGTTTAGTCAATACAGGTATTTCTTTTAGAGAAATCTTATAGCAGGCAGAAGAAAAATACGTGGGTTACCTTGTTTATATAGTTACAAAGTTCTAGAGTGTCTATGGAGGTCTAAACATTTTGAAAGAGATTGGGCTGCCCTGCAGCTTCTCACACCTGAGAGAGCACAGAGCCTCTGGAATGGGATGTCTGGGTGGTCCCTTTTTTTCCCCTCTAGATTTGCATATGTCTTTTCATTATTCTTAAATCTGGGGATTATGAGTGCTCTTCTCTTAATAAATTTCAGAGCTGCACCTTTAAATGCTTAATAAATAAAAAAGGAGCTCTTTCAAGAAATCCTGGAGGAACTTTAAAAATCTCCTTTTATTCCCTAGGTTAGGTCATAGAATTGGGCTTTACTCCTTTTTTCCCCCCTAATTCTTAAATTAATTCATTCTTATTGTGAAACTTTAGAGAATGCAGAAAATAAATAAGGACCATCACACATCCCACTACCCACAAATGACCACTGTTCATATGCATATACTCTATGCCTATCCTTCCAGACTTTCTGTGTGTATATATATATATATATATATATATATATATATATACACATCTATATGGATGTAGTATTGGGGGGGTCATCGTCTGTCTTTCTGAAATAAGATCATAACCTAGAGGCTTCTGGTAATCTGCTTTTCCACTTAACCTCACAGCAACTTTCCCTGTCATGTTTCTCACTTTAACATAAAACGTTCTTTCTGTCTCTGGGAGGTTTGTTTCCCACGAGCTAACAATCAAGTCCCCACTGTAGGAGCACTGGCGGGAGTCCTATACCTGGGTCCTGCTTCAGAGGGAACTCAGCCAGGACAAGAGGTTCTTGCAGCTTATGGAATGGGTAGGAGCTCATAGAGAGAGAAATCAATACCGCACCAGGATTTAGACAATTTAGCAAAACGTATGAGACAGTACTTTTGGTCAAGAATAACTACAGCAGCATGGTTAACCATTGATGGCCTAAAATAGAGGTTATCGTGCTCCATCTAAAGTATCAGACAGAGCTACCCTGTTACAGGGGGTTAAGATAATCGTTGTACAGTATGATCTTTATGCTATTATGCCCACTCTATGTCCTGAATATTTTAAAGACAAGCAAAATTGAAGCAGTTGATTCCTTGCCTGAATGGAAATAATCTGCATTTTCTCTTTTCGCGTCTGTGCCGTGGTAAATTTGATCAGCCTTCAATTCTACAGGAACGCAGTTCCTCTGAATTCATTAGACAGTTCCACAATAAGTGATATAATTAGACGCATACATGTTTAGGAATAACAATAAAGAATGTAAAAACTTATCTGAGGATCAGATCATTATTTTGTTTCAAGAACTGCTGAGATCTAAGATACACTTGTACCTTTAAGGGTGAATTATTTACAATCTAGTGTAGGGTTGATGGGGTGGGGGACATTCTTTGATTTCTTTTTTTTTTTTATTGGTTCAAGTTTCCTATCAATGAACTGAATTTAGAAGTCAGGCAAGGGAAACCATCTTACTAACCCCACATCCAACCTCAGTCCCCAGACAATGTG